GCCTCGACAACATTCCCTTTATCCGATACACCCTTAAATCCTCTGCTGTTCCAACGAAATCCTCTAAGATTTGAAGAAACGCGAGACACTCTTAGTGTGTACGGTGTGCACTAATGGCACAACGACCCGTTCGTTAGTGGCGTACCGATGGCTAGTTTCGCCGTCGCGAAAGGGTTAATGTTTCTGCCGGAGTCTCTGCGGTTTCCCTCGAAGAAGACTCCTATTTTCCTAAAGACACCCTGATTGGTGATTTTTCCTTTTCTAAATCACCAATCAGTTTACTCCGGTGCATCGCGACCTCCCTCCATTTCGCCCTTAGCGCGTTATCTTAGGGTGGGGTAAGCAACGACCGGAGAATCCTGTGGAATCTCCGCTTTTCTAGGCTTTGTTAAAGTCAAGTGGCCCATCGACGTTGGCAAAAGTCGTGGGCCACTTTTCTATTTTCCGTTCGGAGACTCTAGGATTTATGGCAGGGTCTGGTCCTAGGGACTAAGTGTCGCAGGCAACGCAATAAACACTTGCGGTGTTTTGAGAAAGCGATATTTGCCTGCTGACGACGACCACTTGACTCGCTGCCATAAATCCGGCTACAGGATACGCCTTAACGGGTATTTTGAATAATTTCAATTAGAAAACGTTAATTATTCACATTTTGATAATTCATATAACATACATTTTCGAACATTCTGAAAATAAACATTTCCAAATTACAAAATTGTGTCACATCACCGATGCAGTCCAAAAATGACCACTATAAGCGATAAATTATCGATTGTGTTCCCGAGTTAACCTCGATTTACGTTTCACAATACAGAAAGTGTAATACACAATTTATATTCAAGAAGGTGAAATTAAAAACAGTTTCACCTAAGTTCCTATTTTATTCGAAGCAGCCAGAGAAGGGTTTAAAATCTTCGAGGCGGCTTCGAGTGTGGCATGATCCAAAAAAGGCTGGCAAACACCGATCCAAATGCCTCCTCTTCGGGTCTTCTTTCGAACAATAACTTCCAAAAGAATTCGTAACTCATCGACAAGCACAGGCAATTCGAAAAGCACGAAATACACCCGTAACAAGCGAGTATAAAGTGTTAAACGATACAGTTTCTCGTTCGGGCGAAAAATATCCTCTAGCCGGGCTGGAGGAGCAAAACGAAGGGCCGGGGACCACATAGTACGCGCAAAATCCGGCCTCAGCCAGGGGTTCGATAATAAATATGCAAAAAGGAGGAGCATCGATGCCGTAAATAAAAACGGCGGGTTTGCGTGCTGCGATCTCACAACAGAAGAAGAAGAAGAAGAAGAAGAAGAAGAAGAAGAAGAAGAAGAAGAAGAAGAAGAAGAAGAAGAAGAGGCCCGAAATAAAAGGACGAGGCCGAATCGAGGAGAGGGCGTACGAACAGAAAAGAAACGAGGGAACGAATGAAACGAACGACCAGGCAACGGTACGCAACCAACGTGTCCCGGTAATCTCTTGATTTAGTTCGACTTAGGGCCGTGAAACGTGTTCCCTTGGCCACTTTGTCGGCCACCTTTTCTCCTTCGAGCCCTCGCAAACGGACGATGAAGATACGGAAAACGGCCGGTCGCGATATCGAGCTGACGTCTCTATTTATAGACGTTTCTCTGACTAGTCAGTGTGAATTTAAAAGCGTCGATTTCGGCTGCTTGGTCGAGTGAGACTTTTTAGTTGACCCTTTCAGATGCACGGATGCGTAGATGAGTTCGGAGGAAATGACTGGTTGCGACTCGAGGTTGCGAAAGAGGTTGTAAAAGGAGATGATACTTTGGAGATTGAGAGCTGTGTAAAAATGGCTCGCCTAGATTGATACTTGATTACTTGTGTCGGGTTATTTTATTTAAAGTGAAACTTGCTTCTACGTGTTTTATTAAATAATAAATATTATTGAAGTTTAAGTGTAAATAGAGCAATGGAAATAAAGATATTTGTTCCTTGAAAGTGTTATTTCTTTTGAAGATCCATTTTAAGTAAATTATTTTGTATTCAACTGATCTAACGAATCAATTTTAAAAATATTTTCTTACTTTCATCTTAGTGCTTTATTTCAACATCCATCTTCGGCTGAAAGTGTCGAAATTACAACATACCTAACAGTGATTGATGGAATGGATTGATAGATCAGATATCTGGACGTTTAACGATCTAACAACGTCAGTTGTTATTAGGTAATCGCCACTCAAGCAACTTAAATTTCATTAAGTTTCAATCTCTATCATCAGACTACTTGTGTAGAAATAAATGTCAATTTTTTAAGAAGAAAAAATTAGTATCTTTCAACATCCCCAAAGAAAAATATTTTAATTCAATATCCCAGAGAAAAATATTGTAATTCAATATTCTAAGGAAAAATATTTTTAATTAATATTCTAAAGAAGAATATCTTAATTCAATATCCCAAAGAAAAATATTGTAATTCAATATTCTAAAGAAAAATATTTTAAATTAATATTCTAAAGAAGAATATCTTAATTCAATATCCCAAAGAAAAATATTTTAATTCAATATCCCAAAGAAGAATATTTTAATTCAATATCCTAAAGAAAATTTTTTTAATCTGTTAACTGTGTTCATCTCTCAAACAGCAATTGAATCTCTCTAATTTATAATTAAAAATGAGTAAAAATAATAACCACTTACTTCATCTTGGTTCTTGCAAATGTGAATATAACGTATTTTATATTTAATACAGGCACAACAGTGCAATAAAAGATAAAATAAACTATTGTATTCTAACTATTCACTAATCAATGACGTGTTAATTCGTCTTCCCTAGTTAACAGGTTAATTCAATATCTCAAAGAAAAATATTTTAATAAAATTCGAAGCATCTAATAAATTAATTTAAAGAAACAAATTTTCCGATTTGTATCTCGTTACTTTATTTCGATATCGAATTTCAGCTGAAAGTATCAAAATGACAAATTCAATGGTGGTCGCCACTAACCTGTACTCTCTGTCGATGACGATCCTGCTTCCGTTGCCGCCTCTCCAGTTCCTCTTTTCTTTCGATTAGAGACCTTATCTCGACTCCGGCCACAGGAACGCCGGTCTCGTCAGGTACGTCTGTGCACGAGGGTAGTCTCTTCAAGGTAGAAACAGGCTCTTCCTCACCCTCACTGTAACTCTCCACCAGGAGCTCCGAGTCACTCTGAAAACAAATTAAGGATTCCGTTTGAATGCATTATTCCGGAGGAACGTGGAACAGGGGGAACAGAGGGAACAGAAACTAATTTTCCACAAAATGGTTCTGCCTTTCCCACTTTTTTTTCCCTTATATATTTCATCATGCATTTGTTGTTTCAAATAGCTTTCTTATTCAAATGAAAATGACCTTAGATAGTAATCTATTGTTGTATAAATAACTTAAGTGTCAAATAAAAGCAAGAAACGTTGGAATATGTGTATGTATAAGTGTAAAAGGTACATTCGCAGAAAAATAAAATTCGTCAATATTTCATCATGCTTTTGTTGTTTCAAATAGCTTTCTTATTCGAATGAAAATGACGTTAGATAGTAATCTATCGTCGTAGAAATAACTTAAGTGTCAAATAAAAACAAGAAACGTAGGAATAAGTGTATGTATAAGTGTAAAAGGTGCTTTCGCAGAAAAATAAAGTTCGTCAATATTCTACGCAGTTCCCTTCACAGCCAGCTAAATTACACAAAACTTTGTTCTCGTACGTATAAAATACTTCATCAACTCAATTAAATCAATTACACACTTAAAACCTGCTTAAAATAACCAACTACCCACTCTGCATACCTATCTAACCTCTATTGCTCTCCATAAAACCGAATAACCCTCAATATCGGAAATCGATACGACATGTCTTACGAAATCCATGTTACTAACATTACTGTACCCTCTGTTATCGTCAAATTCGTATACCAGGGACAAATACGAGAAAATTACTCACCAAAAACTTTCTTCAATCCTGCTAATCCACTCCCGAACTAAAACTAACACTTTCGACAAATTATCTAACCTAATGAACTCGCCCATGGCGAAGTCCATACGCGACTAACTTCTCGCCCTTACTCTCTGTCGCGCATGCGCACCACCTTGGTTCGCGTCTAGTACGTCGCGATAATCACACACTGTCGATTCTCCAATAACCTTTAACGATACATCGATACCCTTTCGCGTTGGTCGTTCCATTTGCCCGCGAAATACGAACGGAACGAATGAATATTTCATAAAAGGGAGGACGACGACGAGAAGAGAGATAAGAATCGTTATCGTGGTTCTTAATAAAATTCTTTGTTCGCTGGCGTGGAACAAGGACGAAAATCCACGAGGCGGAATCGCTGGCGCGTTTAATTTACTCTCCCTGAACGAGTTAGTTACCTGTTCCGGGGGTGAGCTCGGCGTACTCGTGCTCGATGCCTCCACCACCGAGACGTACTCGCTGATGCCTGTTTCGCTCTTCTGCAACTTCAGTACAGGCGTCTCGAGGCCGCACAGGAACACTTGGCCGAAGAACAGAATCTTGTTTATCCTGAGGCACACTTGAGCGACTTCCTGGAATACGACATGAGCCAAGACTTAGAGCGCGCGAATGGAGGAGAGAACGGAACCCCCATTTTGAAATTTCAATCGTGGCTTGAATGAGAATCGATTTTCTCCACTACAACTTTATACATAATACGTTTTGGGACTGGTGATTCCCCCGAACGTAATTTAACTTGTTACTTGGAAACACACCTTTAAGGTTGGCAACGAGATTTTTATTACTTATTTATTCCCGAGTTTTTAATCATATTACGACGACGGGGAAAAGTTTCAGTCTTGAAATTAAGGTAAATATTGCTTCTTTTGTTGAAATAAATTGCGAACTGTTTAATGCTACGCTGTAACATAGGAAATTATACTGTACGGTGTGCAACAAACGTTCGGTCACTCGGTGGAATGGAAGGCAGCAAAAAAAATATTTCTTTAAAATTTCCAAAAATAGTTTCAGTATGTAAATCGAATATTTTTGCACTCTGAGTCCGTAAACTTTTCTCACAAACTGTATATTACTCTATTAAAAATAAATTTTCACAACATAGCAAATTACGTTCGTTGGAATAATCAAATTTGCAAAATATCAAAATAAAAAAATTCAGAAACTAAATACGTCTTAACTGTGTCATTTTTAATTCTCCTGAAATGGTCGAAAACACGTCGGAAATTTTATCCAACATTTGTCCTATTTGTGATCACATTTTCAACACACGCAAAAGCATATTTCGCAGACAAACATGAATTTGATTTAAAATCAATATTTTGAAAAATATCAATTCACAAATAAAACACTACTCACCATATCTTCGATTTTCTCTGCGTAACAAGGATCCTGCGGATTCGACATCAGCGGCGTGAATCCTGCCAAGGTCATATCTTCCTGCAGTTTCACCAAATCAACCTCTAAAACAAATGTTGAACAGGAAGTGTTAGGCAAATTGTAAACGTACAATTAACATAAATTAACCGCGACGCTCATTAACGGTCGCTAAAAATACCCGGCGCGCATGAGTTTCCCGTTTAAAGAAAGGAAATTAATCTGTCGTGTACCATGCTAAGAGAATCCTTCTAACTAACGGAAGTCGTCGTCAGAAGTATGTGCAAACGTAGTTTACCGGTAAAGATACCGCTTTTCAAACTTCGCGGCGAACACCGAAGAGCAGATGTGCAGAGAATTTTAGTCAAACACTTTCTGCATCCTCAGAATCCTGGGATAAGGATAATTTCAAGGAAACTCCAATCCCTTTCACGCAGTAGAAAATATTCTACTAATAAAAATGCCGATAACAAATATTTCAAGAAAATCATTTCTTATCTACCAAAATGTGTACCTATTTTCTAGACGTACTACACTACTTTTGTACAATCTTACAATATTTTCAGGAAAACATTTCTGCCACTTTTTTATCTCCTACAAAGTTACTTCAAATTTACGAAAGCAAGACTTATTTATAATAAATATCTAATTCTGCACAATTTTTTATCGCGGCTAGTATTTCTGCCATTTCTTTATCTCTTTCAAAGTTACTTCAAATTTACGAAAGCAACATTTATTCATAATAAACATCTGATTCTACAAAATTGCGACCCGTTGTTGACAAACTATGATCCAAGAATCAGATTCGCCATGAACATTTGCAATCAACTTTGATGGCAGGGAATACAAAGCTTCAGCTACAGTTAAATGAAATGTTATCCAAAATGTGTATTACGAAAAACATTACAAATAAAGGATTTGTCAAAAGATTTGAATTTGTAATTAACTACCTACGTACATACAGTGACTCTTACTAATATTCGGACACTCTTTAGAACAGTATAACTTTTTCTAAATTGGACTCAACGACTTGAGTTTTTGAGTGAGAAGTTAGAAGGATTAGTATGCCAGATGACGCGTGTAAAATTTGTTGAAAATATTGCAATTTGTGGGAATCACGAAGAAAATCGTAAAGGTCACTGTTCACAACTTTTTCACCCGAGCTTGTAACGAAAATTTAAAACATACGTTTTGTAGATTCATGTCAATTATACACGCGCTGAAAATTTCATCGAAATCGGTAGATGGAGAAACGAGCGACAGGCATCGAAAGATGTAGGAATCTTCAGATTTATTACAATTGTAGGCCGAAAGTCGTGAAATAGTGCGATTTTCACAATCTTTAACTGTTTGTAGCTCGTAGCGACATTAACCGATTTCGTATAATTGACATAGATCTACAAAACGTATTTTTTAGATTTTCATTACGAGCTCGGATAAAAAAGTTGTCGAATGTGACCTTTACAATTTTCTTCGCGATTCTCACAGATTGCAATTTTTTCAAAAAATTTTATACGCGTCATCTAGTACACTAATCCTAACTTTGCAAAAAACCTCGAGTCGTCAAGTCCAATTTAGAGAAGGTTATACTGTTCTAAAGAGTGTCCGAATGTTAGTAAGAGTCACCGTACGTATTTTCTCTCTCGGCCCACAGAGCCAAAAAATATTTAATATCTGGCCCTCCAGAAAAAAAGTGTGCCGACCCCTGGATTAGAACAACAGCATCTACCATCTATTCCCAGTGAAACAAGTCAAACAAATTTCACACTGTAGTAGGATATTCTTTGGTATCTGGGAAAAGCGCACAAAAGTTTATCTATCTTTCGTCGATACATGTTAACCCTCTATGGGGCGAATATTTTTCTTGGCTGTAAAAGAATTTATGTAACAAATATCGACCTATAAATACAGAATAACAGTGAATTCAGCAGTTTCGACAATTTTATCGTAACGAATACATATTGTAACTTTGAAGTAACAACGGTTATCAAGAAAGTTACTGGTTAATAAGGAGACATTGTACAACAAGACGTTTATGCCATTTTGTGGAAGAAAGTTCAATTATTTAATAAAATATCGATATATTAGTACGTGACTTGAAAGTTACACGGGCCCATAGAGGGTTAAATGCTTGGTGCAAAATAATTTCGAACAAATTACAACCAATGTCTATATAACATTTTTTTCTTACTTACGAGAACATACTGACAATGTTTAATGCGCAAAATCTGCGACACCCTGTATACATACCATTTGTCGTGTACTCGCGTCGGTTTGAGTTATGTTTCAAACTTGGATCACGAGAGAAAAATCGGACTGTTTTCTAACGAGGTCTGAAGCGATCCCGGAATACCCTTTCTCCAACGTTATAATATAAACGACTTGATTATGCGTTCAGCGCTCGGACTGACTCAATACTTGGTTGTTTAACGTTCAGAATGATACTGATTCGAAATTCAGAGGAAGTCACGCATCTCAGCTACTGAGGGCGGAGTTTCATTTTGGAAGTGAAAAATGGGAGAAATAAGAACATTAAGTATTGGTCGTAGGGTGTGGTGGTGGGAAGTGGTGGTAGAAGGATGAGGTGTCGGGGTTTTGGGGAATTCCGAAAAAAGGAGATAGGACATGAGAGAAGGAAGACACTAGTTCAGTAATTGGAAAATCGGGACAATGGTTAATAAACTGAGTTCTGGTGGTGAAATTACCGAGGGTACGCGCTTAATAACGGCCCCGGCTAATCCTATGGGTCGCGGATTCTTCAGGCCCGTCTTACAATTTCCTTAAGCTATAAAAATAAAAGGAGAAAGGCTCGATGCGAAAATAGACAAAAAAAATGTTCGGTACGGAACAAATGCAGCGTTCGAGCTGTTGCTTTTGCTTTCGGGCGTCCGGGCTTCAAACGGATAAAACGATTTATAACAATTACTGTAGGAAGGCGTCCGGTGAGCCTCCTGTACTCTACTCTCTGGAAAGCGTCCGGCGGATAAGTCCAGCCGTTCTTCCCATTCCAGGAGGCTGGTTGTTACAACACCAAGAAAATATCCCCAACACGAAAGAAAGTAACAACGAGAAGAAAAAAAACGAACATTTACAAAAAGTGAAATATCTACATATCGTTTCCCCTTACAAAGAAACCTAACTGCAAGCTTAAACAAAACTCATCCACAAATCGAAAATAAAACCTGAACCGTACAAAATGATAGTTCTCTCAACTCGAAGGCCGTCGTATTACATGCCATTAAAGTAACGAACAACAGCCACATCTGCTACTCAACCGTGTATATCTTCCCCGATCCCGCCAAAAAATGCTAGATAATATTTTTCGTGAAAGTGGAAAAGAAAAGCAACAACCGAGATGTACAGTTATACGACACAAGTTGTATGGAAAATTGAGATTACAGTAGTCGGTAGGCCATCGATGGTGTACCGTTTTCATCGAATTTACGATATAAATGTAGAAATAAATAGTTACGACATATCCAAGGCGCGGTTTCCCGAAAACGATGCGCCGCTGGATCGAGGCGACAGATAATGACAAGCGTAACCTGTTATCATGCAAATATCGAGCGGGTGCACCGGCTATAAACATTCAGCAACAACTACCGGGGAGTGGCAGGGCGTTCCGGTTAGTTCCTGAACGCGGGATGAACGAGGCTTAAGGATATTCAACCTGTCGGATGACACGCTCGTGTATACGATCGATGCTCTCCCTCCGGTTACATTGTAGCGCGCATACCTCGCGTCATTGATCGCCGATAATGGAACGATTTAACGACGGGAGGAGGACGTGGTCGGAGATGTTCGAGAACAGGTAACCTCGTCCCATGTAAGATGGTACTTGGACGAACACGCCTCTGACGTGGCATCCTACGAAAATTGCCAGGCAGAAAAATTGCAACGTCTCCCGGCTGACGCGGTCCTTTGTTAACAACGGTGACGTCGACGTGATGTCACGTTTCTGAGGAAGACAGTGTACAAGGGGAAACTGATTCGGTGAGTTTTGATGGAAAGGACGTTTAAGAGTCTTTTTTTCTCGTAAGGTAAAGAAATAAGCCTACCACGAGAAGATTTAATCGTCATGTTTAGAATATGGAAGATGCAGTCATCTATTTTGTATAATAATGAAATTGTGTGCTTCTTTTGTTACACATTTTTGGGATGTTTGGTGTTATTTCACTGAGATTTAATCGTCACGTTTAGAAAGTTAGAAGACGTTTGTTTATCGGTAATTCATTTGGTATGATAATAAAATTGCGTGGTTCTAAAATTGAATGGCTTCATTCAACACACTTTTTATTTCATTGAGAACCACTTTCAGTTTCTGTTGTTCATCTGAGTTCGATAAATCGTGTGTCATTTTAACCCTCTACTGTCGAGACACCGTTCTTGGGACGCAAAGCCCCATACGGAGTCTGCGAAACTCCGGAATTTCCAGTTAATTTATACATAAATGCAGAACACTTCTGACAACTTTTCTTACCGATTTACCTTTATCACACATTTTCCTAATGAACGTTATAGAATAGAGTGGTTGTGTTAATTTCATTTGAATGTAATAATGTCGAGTTCTAAATAGAACGGAAGAAACCAAAAAAGATCGAGTCTCTGAGACTCCGCCTCGACAGTAGAGGGTTAAACAGCAATTTATGAAATTTCAGATTTAGCTGTATCGATGAAACAAAAACAGCGAAGTTGCAAGTTAAATTCTGAAGTGTGAGGTTCAGCTGTGTCAACGAAATGCACGTTGTTCCTCGAAAAGGAAGATTTTCTCATTTTCTTCGAAGAGGAAGCTGGTGTGTATGTAAAAGAAGTCCCTTTAAAAACCACAACAACCTGCGTTTCATCGACACAACTAAACCCGAAGCTTCCCAATTACAAATCTCTCTCAAACTTCCGCCACATGCACTCTCGATACCTGCTAAGAATTCCAATTCGACAAAGTATTGCAACTTCACCCCGCCGCCTGGTCGAAGCAAATACCCCAAATTCCATCCCCGGCGAAATTCCAATATCCAAACCTGACACATCTAAAATTCTAATATCCAACATTTGAACGTCGAACAACTCGCGGAATACCGATAACCCC